CTCTTTCCCGTTTCGTGTTTGTTTTTTTGTTTACATATATACAGAAGTCCACCAATAAAATGGTAACCACAGTGCAACGTCCCGGGAGCCTCGCAGCCGGGACAGGATTGGATTGTGCATTCTCTGGGTGTGCCGGGCTGACACACACCGATAAGGGTAACTAAACGTAAGTCCTTAAAGTGGCGTCCATTGAGGAACGGGCAGGGCCCCTCGACAGACGGCAAAAAGGCCAAGTTCTACAACCTCTCAACAGTCTTGGGTTTCTTAGAGGTGTCTGGGGCTAGGGTGCCCGTTATGGTACAACTTCTGTTTGATGTGCACCATGTTCCCGGTCGGCTCGTCGTACTGCCGGTGGTGACGTTTCCTGAACTCCTTGAAGTTACAAAATTTTGGAATCCAAGACCAAGTGGTGTCTGTCAACAGAAAGAGAAAGAGAGAGAGAGAGACTTCAGCAAAAGCTTAGGTAAAGGGTAAAGGGACCCCTGACCATTAGGTCCAGTCGTGATCGACCCTGGGGTTGCGGCGCTCATCTCGCTTTATTGGCCGAGGGAGCCGGCGTACAGCTTCTGGGTCATGTGGCCAGCATGACTAAGGTGCTTCTGGCGAACCAGAGCAGCGCACGGAAACGCCGTTTACCTTCCCGCCAGAGCAGTACCTATTTATCTACTTGCACTTTGACATGCTTTCGAACTGCTAGGTTGGCAGGAGACCGAGCAATGGGAGCTCACCCCGTCGCGGGGATTCGAACTGCCGACCTTCTGATCGGCAAGTCCTAGGCTCTGTGTTTTAACCCACAGTGCCACCCGCGCCCAAAAGCTTAGCCATGCTTAAGAACCCAGCCCACGATTGTTAAATTTGGTGGTAGACTTTGAGAGGCATTTCTTGTTTATGACTACTTTTGTAAGTTTGTAATAGGGTTTTTTCCCCCAGCTGGAACTATGATGATGATGATGATGATGATGAATTACTTATACCCCACCCATCTGGCCGGACCTCCCCAGCCACTCTGAGTGGCTTCCAAGAGAATATTAAAAGCATGATAAAACATCAAACATTAAAAACTTCCCTAAACAGGGCTGCACTCTAGAAAGAGTGAAGAAATTCCTTCCTGATATACATCAAATTATCCACCAATAGATCCTGATCTATGATTTACCTATCATGATTTATGGAGTTTTGGGCTTTGAAACTCTCCTTTAATTTATATGCAAATTTAATCAATTAGCTCAATTTAATTCCTACGATTAGTTAAGACTTACTTAATCAGGCAGCCATCCTACTTTGAACTACAGTCCCCAAAGAGAGGAAATACATCTCCCAAAAATCAAACCCACAGGTTTGAATAAAATTTTAATGGACTAATGTACATGTTTGCATGCTAGACTCTCTCAGTGTAGAACACCAGAGATCTGCACTTGCGGCTGATTTGCTACTGGTCCAAGTTACAGGTGCTATTATGGGCATAAAAAAGCCCTTAACAGCTTGGGACCAGTTTATTTCTGATTTGCTGCACTCTTGATGGGGTTATATTCCCTCTGAAGGAGCAGGTACATAGCTTATGGGTTCTCCTGGATCCTCACGTGACAACTTGAGGCTCAGGTGGCCTCAGTGTCACCAAAGCCTTCCATCAGCTTCGGCTGGTGGCCCAGCTGCACCCCTCTCTGAGCAGGGATAGCCTAATTTTTGTTGTCTGTGTTTCGGTAACCTCTAGGTTAGATTACAGCAATGCATTATACATGGGGATGCCTCTGAAGATGGTTCAGCTGGTGCAGAATTAGGCAGCCGGGTTGCTCAATCCGGCAAGACGGTTTGAGCATATAACGCCACTCCTGGCCTGACCCTACTGGCTGCCAATCAGTTCCCAGGCCCAATTCAAAGTGCTGGTTTTCAGCTATAAAGCCTTATACGGCTCAGGACCACAAGCACTGCCTCTCCCCATATGAGCCGCCCCAGACCACGAGATCATCTTCTGAGGCCCTTTTTCATGCACCTCCTCTGCAAGAGGTCTGGAGGGCAGCAACAAGAGAACGGGGCCTTTTCTGCAGTGGCTCCCCATTCGCGGAATGCTCTCCCCAAGGAGGCTTGCCTGGCGCCTTAATTAGACATCTTTAAGTGGCAAGAAAACAAGACCTTATAACCTCCAGCCCTTAACTTTCTGTGGCCTTTTAGAAGTGGGTGGGGTGTTTTTTAATGTATTTCTTTCCCCACTTTGTTTTAATGTATCTATGTGGTGTTTGCGGGGGGGGGGGCAGTTGTTTGATTGTAAGCTGCTTTGGGTTGTAAGTTGTTTTGGGTTGCCCTGGGCAAAATAAAAGGGCTAACAAATTTAATTAATAAGTAATAATATGTTTTTTTTAGGGGTTTTTTTAAATTGCTTGCTGTGACATTGGGTAGTTGTTGCTTTTAATTAAAACCAAACAGGCAGGCAACACAGAGCAGGGTCACATTCTATGATTCTATGCCAAACATAATTTTACACGCTTCTACCATGTTGTCCCCCCCCCATCTTTTCTCTAAATCTAAAAGCCCCAATAAAATAAAATAGTGGGGCCATAAATTGGTTGACTCATGGTTCAAACACTCAGGGCTGCATCCAATACAATGTTCTGCTCACCCATGTGAAATAAATGGACATGAATAACTTTGGCCCACTAATTTCAACGGGTCAACTCTTGAGTAGGGCTTTGTTGGAGGGGACAACCCTTCGTTTCTGCTGGACATCTTTTAGCTCAGAAGCCGGAAAGGTGACGTTCGCCTGGCTTTCCCTTCAACATAAGCACATTTTCACATCCTTGAGGGCTAGAGACGTGATCCTCAAAATGGGGATGAAAGCTTGAGGAGCATGAACGAGGTACCCAGAAACCACAAGGAACCTGCTCCCCATGGGGCATGCGAAAACACCTCCCCTTGGGGCATCGCCAGCGACAGCGAAACCCCTCCGGCAACAGGCCGGTGAGCACTCACTTACCATACCGTCGGCTTGTCCGCCAGGCCCGTACAGCGTAGTGAAGCACTCCATCCATCCACACCAGAAACCAGCTTATGCAGAATCCCAGCAAGAGTCCCAGCATCAGGTCGATTTCCTGCTTGGTGACATTGTCAGTCACAAAGTAGTTCTCCGACGAATCCACCACGGACTGGTCTCCGTCGTAGGGGATGACGTAATGAACATGGTGCCTGTGAGGTTAGAGAGGGAGAGAAAGAAAAGGAGGAAAGCATCAAAGATTGGAGGGCAAAAAAGGAGAACAGATGGATTTGCAGCCATTAGGGATTCCGCCGAGATCCTAGGCCGGTGCCATCAGGTGGAATCCTTGAGCCCTTGTCTGGGCTCTTGCAATGAAACAGCCCAAAGCTGATCGGTAGGATACTGGATCTGGTGGGGCATCGTTTAAAAACATCAATGCGTGTTAAGTTCACCCCCTCTGCTGGCTCACTAGCTCCCATGTCACTGGCCAATACTGCCTCGGATACCTAAACAGGGCTAAAAGGTAAAGGGACCCTTAACATTTAAGTCCAGTAGCGAACGACTCTGGGGTTGTGGCGCTCATCTCGCTTTAAAGGCTGAGAGAGCCAGCGTTTGTCCACTTTTGCAAACAGTTTTTCCGGGTCATGTGGCCAGCATGACTAAGCTGCTTCTGGCGAACCAGAGCAGCGCACAGAAACGCCATTTACCTTCCCGCTGGAGTGGTACCTATTTATCTACTTGCACTACGTGCTTTCATACTGCTAGGTTGGCAGAAGCTGGGACAGAGCAACGGGAGCTCACCCCGTCATGGGGCCTCGAACTGCCAACCTTCTGATCAGCAAGCCCAAGCGGCACAGTAGTTTAAACCACAGTGCCACCCGCATCCCTGGCTACCTACATCTAAAGCATTATGAAACAGTCATAGCTTCTCCCAAAGGATCCTGGGAGCTGTAGTTTGTTTAGGGTTCCGGGATGTGTTAGGAGACCCCTGTTCTCCTCACAGAACTATAATTCCCAGACTGGTTTAGCCATCAGTCTCTCTTCCCAGGGAACTAAGGGGTTTGTAGTTTTGTGAAGGGGAATAGGGGTCTCCTAACAACAATGACTTGCTTTGGTCCATTAATTTCAACAGGTTTGGGGTGTGCGTGTGACAGAGAGAGAGAAACAGAGAGAGAGAACCAACTGAACGATGTGGAGCTGATCCAGCATATTTCCCTGCATGAAGCATTTCAGTTCAACGAGGCTTGCACCGGTAAATGTCCAATTGGATGGTGTCCCCTTAGCAGAGCTGGTCACAGGGCTCAAAGTAGTTACAGTGGTACCTCTGGTTAAGAACGTAATTCGTTCTGGAGGTCCGTTCTTAACCTGAAACTGTTCTTAACCTGAGACACCACTTTAGCTAATGGGGCCTCCCGCTGCCACCGCACGATTTCTGTTCTCATCCTGAGGTAAAGTTCTTAACCCGAGGTAATATTTCTGGGTTAGCAGAGTCTGAAACCTGAAGTGTCTGTAACCTGAAGTGTCTGTAACCCAAGGTTCCACTGTATCTTTATTTTATTTACTGAATGACTTAGTTGTGGCATATCTTCCTATACACATGAAAATGTAAAATGTCACACTGCAGTTCTTGTGGCCGACAGAAGGTGGCCGCTGCAACTGCAGCATGCTGAATAGCAGGCATGCAGGCAAGTATTTCGTGAAACATGCCTGCTGCGAGGTTTAATGGAAGGAGGGAGGCGAGTTGTGGTGGGATATGTGAGAGGGGCTATGAATGGAGGGTGTGTTGTCCCATGTGGGGGAAGGGCAGCAGGCAAAAGAGTGAGAAGGGTTGATAAGCACAGCAAGCAGGGGTGGCAGCCCTTTGTGGGTATGTGTATCTCAAAGCCACCTAACCAGGTAAAATACAAACAGGGAAACATAAAAGCCAGAAAAACATAATGTACAATACAAATCCATTAAATGGATCATAGAATCATAGAGTTGGAAGGGACCATGGGAGTCATCTAGTCCAACCCCCTGCAACGCAGGAATATTTTGCCCAACGTGGGACTTGAACCCACAACCTTGAAATTAAGAGTCTCATGCTCTACCAACTGAGCTATATGGATTGCTCTATAACAGAGGTAGGCAACCCAGGGGCCGGATGCGGCCCAATCAACTTCTCAATCCGGCCCGCGAATGGTCTGGGAATCAGTGTGTTCTTACATGAGTAGAACGTGTGCTTTTATTTAAAATGCACCTCTGGGTTATTTGTGGGGCATAGGAATTCGTTCATTCCCTCCCCAAAAAAATATAGTCCGGCCCCCCACAACATCTGAGGGACGGTGGACCGGCCCACGGCTGAAAAAGGTTGCTGACCCCTGCTCTATATCATCCAACAACCTCCCACCCACTAAAATATGAGCAGCGCAGAGTAGGAGAGGCTAACTTAACTACTTTAGGTAAATTACTGGGGAGGGGGGTGGAGAGAGGAGGCCATTTTTATGCTACCCCTTACAGGTTTTGCAAGGTTACAGGGGAGGCTGCAATTTGGCAATGGGGTGGGAGGGATTCAGGGGGTGGAGCTCATGGGTACCATTAAAGGGACCCTGCCCTTTCCCTCCTCCCCAGTAATTTGGGCCAAATGGTTCAGGGTGAGGCCATAGCTCCGGGACAGAGAATCTGCCTTGCACACAGAACGTCCCAGTTTCAATCCCTAATGTAGGGTTACCAGACGTCCCCGGTTCCCGGGGACAGTCCCCGGATTTGCAAATCTGTCCCCGGACAAATTCCGTCCCCGGAATGTCCCCCGATTTGCAAATTTGTCCCCGGGAAACATGGTAGCAGCAGACTCAGCAGTCCAGAGCCAGCCTGGTAGCGCAGTTGGCTCTCGCTGGCTTCAGGAGCTGCTCGCTGCCCGCTGCCCGCCATTTTTCCTTGCTGGAACTTCCGGCAAGGAAAAATGGTGGGCGCCACGGCAGCGAGCAGCTCCTAAAGCCAGCCAGAGCCAACTGCGCTACCAAGCTGGCTGTGGACTGCTGACTGCCGCTGCCGCCACCACTGCTGAAGGGGAACCGGGGATGTCCAGCGGTACAAATCTCCTGCCCCCTTCCCCCTTTGTTTTGACTGATCGGGGGAGGCTCAGGAGTTGCGGGCGGGTGGCTGTTGCCCAGTTTTTTAAAAACTCTGCTCATTTATGTTTCACAGGGTGAGAAAGAAGGGCTTTGCACCTTGCCTGGCAGAGAAACCGTGCACCTTGCGCCCCTCCTGGGCAACAGCCACCCGCCCGCGATTCCTGAGCCTCCCCCAATCTGTCAAAACAAAGGGGGAAAGGGGCAGGAGATCGGGGAAGGCTTGGGAATCACGGGCATGTGGCGCGCCGTTGCCCAGTTTTTTAAAAACTCTGCTCATTTATGTTTCACAGGGTGCGAAAGAAGGGCTTTGCACCTTTATACAATATGCATGTGTGCTTGGGCCCAGGGTCTTTTGCCTCACCATCCCCACAACTGACTCCCTGTTGCTACTCAGCTTCAAAAAAGAAAAGAAAAAGAAAAGGCTCCCCAGATTCATTGAAAAGAATCTGGCAACCGTACCCTAATGGCATCTGCAGGTAGAGCTGGGAAGGTCCCTTATCTGAAACCCTAGAGAGCTGCTGCCAGTCCGTGCAGGCAACATTGTGATCTGACTCAGCACAATCCCTGGCATCTCCAGGTAGGGCTGTTTGAAAGTCTGGACAGCAGCTGCCAGTCAGTGCAGACGACACCAAGCTGGATGCACCAATCAGCTGACTCCGCATCCGGCGCCTTCCTAAATCCCTGCGCCTAAGTGCCTTGTAAACGGTGTCCAGAAACGCTCCGCTGAAGCAGCTTTGTCACCTTGCGTCATGCCACAGCCACCTCGACCGCAAGCCCCGTTTGGAGGCTCAGGCACGGCTGGGAGGCGTGCTGTTTTCCCTCCCCAGCCGTCGACCCTTCCCCGGTTCCCTCTCTGCTGCGCTCCCGGCCTCTTCCCTCTGTTCAGCCAGCCCCTGGGACCACCCTGGCGGCGCACCTCGCTCTGGCAGCCGGACAGCCAGGCTGCAACAGAGAAGAAGGACGCTCAGCATCCCCCACATCCCCTTCGGCAACGCAACAGCCCGCATCGAGCCACTGCAGAGTCAAACTTGGTCACTGCAGCAGCATCTCCCGATTACTTCCAAGCACAGCGGCAGGAAAGCGCTCCCTCGACTCTCGCTCCCTGTTTTGTCAGGGACAGGCGCCGCTCCTCTTTGCGCCCACGGTGGCGAGATGCTAGGGGGGTCCCTTAAAATAATGAAAAGTGTTTCCGCATCTCTATATGGGCACAGAGCTTCTGTATCAAGTCACAACCTTGCCCAGATGTCAAAGAAGTTAAGTTTCGGTGGAGTGCGTGTGCGTTTGCAAACCCTCCAAGTCTTCCTGTTTTCCAGGGACAGTCCCAGATTTAGAGAAGCCGTCCTGGTTTCTGATTTGATCCCAGAATGTCTCACTTTTCCTTAGGATGTCCCTGTTTTCATTGGAGAAATGTTGGAGAGTAAAGAGTTATGTGACCCCCGAGCCAAGGGTGTATACAACCTTTAGAAGAACATCTGAAGGCTGTATGGGGAAGTTTTTTTAATGTTTAATGTTTTATTATGTTTTTATATAAATTGGAAGAATGGCGGGGGCAACCCAGTCAGATGGGCAGGGTATAAATAATAAAAGTGTTATTGTTGTTATTGTTGAAAAGGACATCCCTAGAAAGTGAGGAGGAATTAAAGAACCTTTTAATGTGGGTGAAAGAGGAGAGCACAAAATATAGTCTGAAGCTCAACACCATAAAAAATAAGATCATGGCCACTGGTCCCATCACCTCCTGGCAAATAGAAGGGGAAGAAATGGAGGCAGTGAGAGATTTTACTTTTTGGGGCTCCATAATCACTGCAGATGGTGACAGAAGTCACGAAATTAAAAGACGCCTGCTTCTTGGAAGAAAAGCAATGACAAACCTAGACAGCATCTTAAAAAGCAGAGACATCATCTTGCCAACAAAGGCCCGTATAGTCAAAGCGATGGTTTTCCCAGTAGTGATGTATGGAAGTGAGAGCTGGACCATAAAGAAGGCTGATCGCCGAAGAATTGATGCTTTTGATTTATGGTGCTGGAGGAGATTCTTGAGAGTCCCATGGACTGCAAGAAGATCAAACCTATCCATTCTGAAGGAAATCAGCCGAGTGCTCACTGGAAGGACAGATCCTGAAGCCGAGGCTCCAATATTTTGGCCACCTCATGAGAAGAGAAGACTCCCTGGAAAAGACCCTGATGTTGGGAAAGATGGAGGGCACAAGGAGAAGGGGACGACAGAGGACGAGATGGTTGGACAGTGTTCTCGAAGCTACCAGCATGAGTTTGACCAAACTGCGGGAGGCAGTGGAAGACAGGAGTGCCTGGCATGCTCTGGTCCATGGGGTCACGAAGAGTCGGACACGACTAAACGACTAAATAACAACAAAATGTTCATCAGAGAAATGTCGGAGGGTATGCATTTACCCAGAGGGCTCCTCCAGATAACCCGTTTCTTGAGCCTTCATCTTAATTTGCTCGCCCAAAGCTTACACGGAGGTTATCTGTGCTTATGGTGGTTACAGAGTGGTTCGATGTGGGCATACTTCTTCGCTTCCAATCAGGGTCTGTCCTGTAACTTCCTGCTGAAATAATTGTTCTGGCTTATTTCTCATTGTAAGAACCTAAAAAAAGAACCCGCTGGATCAGACTAGTGGCCAATCTTGTCCGGCATTCTGTTCTCAAAGCACTGGCAGACTTTGGGCTCTCAAATTTCAGCGGCACCTTGTGCTGCGCTAAAATCCTGTGTCCCCTGCCTCTCTCGCTCCATTCCACAGTACAGTTGTGGCACCCCCTGCAGCATGGCACCCAATGTGCCCGTACCGGTCACGCCACCCTAAACTGCCTTTGCTCACAGTGGCCAACCAGATGCCCCCATAGGAAGACCAAAGCAACTCTCCAGCAACTATGGTAATATTCAGAGGCAAGCTCCCTCTTCTGGTGGAGACTGAACATAGCCACTGATAGCCTTGTCCTCCATGAACCTGCCTAAATCTCTTTTAAAGCCATCCAAGAATAAGAATAAGGCCTGGTAGCAGTGACGTAGCATGGGTTGTCAGTACCCGGGGCCATGCAGAGGGAGGGAAATGGGCAGGGTACACATGCACATTCAACTGTCTGCAGCACCCAGGAGATCACAGCCTCAGAGATAAGAAAAGAAGAGTCGTTCCATTATCTGGAGAGGTCACTTCCTGGTTTGCATGGAGAAGCTGTTTTCAACGGAACCCAGCGATGGAAGCATGCAGCTGTATTGAAAGTTTGTACCCCCTAACAATATTGCGCCCGGGGCCCCACCAATACATTACGCCACTGCCTGGAAGATCGAGCCAATGGCCCACCTAGTCCAGCTTCTTATTCTCACAGTGGTCAACCCAGATGCCTGTGGAACCCACAAGTAGGATCGAAGCACAAGAGCGTTATTCCTCCCTGTGGTTTCCAGCAACTGGTATTCAGAAGTATATTCCGACTGTGGAGGCAGAGCATGGCCATCATGGCTTGTAGCCCTTGATAGCTTTGTCCTCCGTGAATTTGTCTCTCCCTCTTTTGAAGCCACCTAAGTCGGTGGCCACCGCTGCCTCCTGTGGCAGAGAGTTCCATAGTTTAACAATGCACTTTTGCCACACCGCGATGCAAGAGTGTTCCCCTGGATGGCAATCACACGGTTATACGGAGGAAGCATCGCAGAACAAGTAGTAGAGCAGAACGCTGTGTGGACAGTCCTGAACAAATCTACTGCTAATACGCTATTATCGCGGCAATGACATGTTGCAGAATACGCCCACATTAAAAACCCCAGAACTGGAAAGACACTAGGCCTGCTCCTTATCAAGCCTTCTTTCTGATTTGCTTGCAGGGCATGTAGAAGCCTTTCTATTAATCATGCCTTCCTCTCACCCTTTCCCCCATAGAATCATAGAATTGTGGAGTTGTGTGGGACCCCGTGGGTCATCTATTCCAACCCCCTGCGACGCACTTTCCTAACCGCATAAGGCCTGTTTGTTTTTAAGTGGATTGGTTGCGCCAGAGGGCGCTTTGATCCACTGTAAATTGAGTGAACTTCCATTTCCGTGGTGGCCTCGGCAGTTCACTCCTCCTAGGCCAGAGGTCAGCAAACTTTTTCAGCAGGGGGCCGGTCCGCTGTCCCTCAGACCTTGTGGGGGACCAGACTATTTTTTTTTTTTTTTAAAAAGGAATGAATTCCTATGCCTCACAAATATCCCAGAGATGCATTTTAAATAGAAGCACACATTCTACTCATGTAAAAACACCAGGCAGGCCCCACAAATAACCCAGAGATGTATTTTAAATAAAAGGACACATTCTACTCATGTAAAAACACACTGGTTCCCGGACCGTCTGCGGGCCGAATTTAGAAGGCGATTGGGCCAGATCTGGCCCCCGGGCCTTAGTCTGCCTACCCATGTCCTAGGCACACATTTGCAGAGACTCTGAACTGCTGGAGAGAAGGGGCAGTGCACCGAGATCTTTGTCGCAGAAATACGGAAACATTGCTGGAATATATTTTGAGGGTCACCTATTCTATAGCAAAGACCAACTCCATTCATTCTGGGATTCAATGTTCTATGAAACCTCTCTCTCTCTCTTTTTAATAGAAAAAGGGAATTGTCAGGTGAACTAAGGCAACGTCCCTTGCTTCAGAGGCCAGCCCAGGACAGGCGATTGCTGAGTCAATGAACAGAGGCAAGAATGGGGAACCTGTGGCCTTTCTGGTTGCTGCTGGGATTTCAGCTCCCACCAACCCCAGGCAGCAAAGCCAACAGTCAGGGACGATGGGAGTTGTAGTCGACATCTGGGAGCTTCCCATCCCTGGAATAAGGCCCGGGTGGAATAAAGCCTGCTTCTGTGTGTGTGGAAATGGAATTGGAGGTCTTTGGTGTGGAGCATAAGAGATCCACCATTTTCATTTGTGAAATCAAGCTCCAGGCACCTTCCAAAGGGGGGAGAGGCACTGCTGGTGTTGCAGTTCAGTCCCAGAACAGCTGCTTTGAATTCAGAAGGTCCCAGGACCACCCCTTTGCCTTCTGAGACCTTAGCAGAACTGCTTGCACATTTTCATGCATAAGGACTAGATACTTGGGCTTTTTAAAAAAATGAAATGAAATGAAAGCTGAGATTCCCAACGACAAGGATAAATAGGATTCAGAAGGAAGCTGCCTTCTATCAGTTCAAGCCACTGGCCTATCTAGAACAATACTGTCCACACTGACTGGCAGCAGCTCTTTGCGGTTTTAGGCAGTGGTTTTCCCCGGCCCTACTTGGAGATGCCAGGAATTGAATCCGGGACCTTCTGAATGAGAAGCGGATGCTCTGTCGCTGAGCTACAGCTCTTTCTCTACAGCCTGCCAAACTCCTTGGAGAACCCCCTCATTTCTGATGACCCTCGGAGCCCCTTCCAATTCTGTGATTGCTTGATTCTATTCACGAGGACTGATACATTTTGCCCGGGGAGCTATTAATGGAACAGAGACATTGGTGGGTGGACAGGGGTGGGGGGAGAGGTACAGTCCTGGCTCACACCAAGGGAATCTGATTATGGAAGGTGGAGTTTGCCAGCTTGCATTGGCAACCAAATACTTCCTTATGAGCAGGGAGCCCAAGTCACAAATTCTCCCAGCCAGTTTCCCATTTGCTTAAATTAGCATCGTTGGTGAGAACCGGATCCATTATTACAGGGGGGCAACGGTACTTCTTGCTTCTGCAAAGCCTGTCCATTCACTGCTCTCTTTGGCATGCGTTGGTGTGGGAAGAACCACAGCTCAATGGAGCGATCGCCTGCTCTGCATGCAGAAGGTCACAGCTTCAATCCCCGACGTCTCCAGGTAGGAGAGACAGACCTCTGCCTCAAACTCTATACAGTGGTAATGAAGCACGTGAACGTAAGCGGGTACTCGCTTGGTGTTAAATAAGGATCAGGCAGACTCAGCAATGGAGAATAAGAAGGTGAAGTTTATTGCCAGGCAATAAGGACCCAGTTTGGAATCTCTTCCAAAAGGAACTGGGACCCCGATTGACAGAAATCCAGAGGTCTTTATACCTGAGCAGATCACAGCAAATCATAGATCATGAGACAACCATGAGGGATTCACGATATTGTCAGCGAGAATTAGCCAATCGGCAAGCTTCTTGCCATGCTTCCAGCTCCTGGTCAAGCACTGGTCAAGCACGGAGTTCTAGTTCTGCTTTCCGATGCTTGCAGTGACGCTCTGTCTAACCTCTCCCCTAGTTATGACAGGACAGGGAGTTTGGAGATTTTGTGGTTTTGCTCTTCCTGTTCTGTGGATTAATTTAGCCTGTATCTGAGGGGATTTTGTACCAGTATCTCTGATTCATGTCTTCCCCTTGTCCAGGGTACACGGATGTTTGTAGGGGAAAGGTCGGCTCCTAACTTTGCTGTTTCAAGCAGTTTGCAGTTAGCTAAGGCACAGCTTCCCTTTGATTCAAAATGGATTATAAAATACTGTAAGCCTTGATTATGTGTAAGCATATATGAATATATTGATTACTGATAACTGATTATATGGATAACATAGGGATAGCCCTTCTTCCTTGCCTCAGTACCTCGGGTTACAGACGCTTCAGGTTACAGACGCTTCGGGTTACAGACTCCACTAACCCAGAAATAGTACCTCGGGTTAAGAACTTTGCTGCAGGATGAGAACAGAAATCATGCAGCAGCGGGAGGCCCCATTAGCTAAAGTAGTGCTTCAGGTTAAGAACACTTTCAGTTAAGAATGGACCTCCAGAACGAATTAAGTTCTTAACCTGAGGTACCACTGTAGAGAGTACAGACAACACTGAGCTCACTACACCAACGGTCTCACTCACAATCAGGCAGTTTCCTTCATTCCCAAGAGTCTTTTGGCGAGCTTTGTAGTGCTTTCCTCATCAGGAACAAGTTCCACTGCGTTTAATCAGGCTTCCTTCCCAGAAAGTGTGTTTCAAATTGCAGTCTTCGTTCCCCTTCTACAAATGTACTCAGAGCAACGTTAGATCTCCATAGCACACGGCGCTTTAACCGGTGATATTAAAAACACAAGTCCTTGCTCCGAGGAGCTGAGAAACTCAGAGGAAATCAGCTTCCAAGGCAGCCTTTGCAAACCCAAAGCACAGGAAACTGCCACAGACATCACACAGGTTCCAAGTGCAAGCGCCGATCTCCCCACTTGTGATTCGCAGGAGGAAGAACATTGAGATCAGGGTTAAAAAGGTAAAGGTAAAGGGACCCCTGACCATTAGGTCCAGTCCTGACCGACTCTGGGGTTGCGGCGCTCATCTCACTTTATTGGCCAAGGGAGCCGGCGTACAGCTTCCAGGGCATGTGGCCAGCATGACTAAGCCGCTTCTGCCAAACCAGAGCAGCGCACGGAAACGTTGTTTACCTTCCCGCCAGAGCAGTACCTATTTATCTACTTGCACTTTGACGTGCTTTCGAACTGCTAGGTTGGCAGGAGCAGGGACCGAGCAACGGGAGCTCACCCCGTTGCAGGGATTCAGCAGCCCTCAGTTGCCTTCTCCTCCCCAAATGTGATCCCCTTTCAGAGCCACCCAGATGCTTCAAACAGCAAGAAGCTGCTTACACGAGCTTCATGTTGTTCTGCCTGGACACTGAGGTCCAGCTCTGAGGGCCTTCTGGCAGTTCCCTCCTTGCAAGAAGCAAAGTTACAGGGAACCAGGCAGAGGGCCTTCTTGGTGGTGGCGCCTGCCTTGTGGAATGCCCTCCCACCAGATGTCAAGGAAATCAACAACTATCTGACTTTTAGAAGACATCTGAAGGCAGCCCTGTTAAGGGAATCTTTTAATATCTGATGAATTATTGTGTTTTAATATTTTGCTGGAAGCCACCCAGAGTGGCTGGGGAAACCCAGCCAGATGGGCAGCGTATAAATAAATAATAATAATAATAATAATAATAATAATAATAATAATAACAACAACAACAACAACAACGATCACAGCCTCCTGGGGCAGTGAGTTCTATAGTTTAAGCACTGTGGGAAGCAGTCCTTCCTTCCATTGGACCTGAATCGTCCAACATTCAGCTTCGCCAGATGTCCACTGGTTCTCAAGTTACAAGACAGGGAGAAAAGCTTTTCTCTGTCTGTTCCTACGCTTCTGTCATGCCTCCAATTTTGGCTAAAGTAATTTCCAAAAAGCCCCAAACCTTTTCTCACAGGGGAGTCACCCCACCTCCTTGATCACCCTGGTCTTCCTCTTCTGAACCTTTATAATATCCTTTTCTGAGGCAAACAAGTCGTTCAAACGACAAATGCGACAAATGCGTCCACTGACAACAAGGTTGGAGGGGGAGCAAAATGCACAACGCAGGAGAAAGCCATCTGGGGAAGGGGGGGCGGACATCCTCTCTGCCAGCGTCCCAAAAGACGAGGTGAATTAAAAGGCAATAGAAGTTTCCATTGCTTTTTAAAAGGGCCGATCGATGGGATAATTTTCCTAAGTTGATCGCTGCTGATAGCAGCAAAAGCCAGCGCATTAAGACAGGCTGGGCACTGCCCACCTTCTCCCTGCGCCAGGCTGCTAACAAGGTCATTGGAAAGACCCCCACAAGGCTGTTCATGCTCCATCGTGTTATGTGGCGATTACACGAATCCATTAGTGGCTGCGCTTATTCGCAAGGGGCTTCCCGGAGTCACCCTGCTTGCAGATCTCATCCTGCCTCTCTCTCTCTCTCTCTCTCTCTCTCTCTCTCTCTCTCTCTCTCACACACACACACACACACACTGGAGAAAAATAACAATGATAACAATTCCATAACTGGACATCTGCGGCTCTCCGCTGCCAGACAAATCAAGCATCTGTCCTACCCGGAATGGAGTATCCGGTGAGGAATTTGGCACGCAAAAAACCTCCAGTGAACCTCCCTAAATAAGTTTTTAGTCCTCATGGCTTCCAACTTTGGGCACCTGTATCTTGCTTGCCTGGATAGAGGATGAAGAAGGGTGTGTTCAAGCATATGCATGTGGGAACCAGCCTATTGGACAAAGGCAACGTTTGCATTTGTTGCTCCGCCCACTTTTGAGATGGGTGGACCAATGGTGAGGCAGGTGTCTATATCCGCACGCCTCCTTACCCCGGGATCTGACTCTTTTTTCACCATTGAGCCCTGTATTAGCCACCTTGAACTTTTAAGAAAGGCAGGACAGAAGAGTTTTCAAGAAATCAGTGCCCTCTGTGCCCAGCTGGCAGCAAGAGGTCGCTGCCATCTTTCCTACCACTTGGAATTGAACCAGGGAAAATTCACATCCACAACTGACTCCATGGCCACTGCCTCTCTCCCCTGTGCAGAAAGATGCCTTATAACAAGCCACACCATTGGCCCATCGGGCCCCATACTGTCTACACTGACTGGCAGTGTTTCTCTCTGGGGCGCAACCTCCTCCTTTGATGAGGAAGGACTGTAATTCAGTAGTTCGAGCAACTAAGCATAGAGAAGGTCCCAGCATCTCCAAATAGGTCTGAGAAAGAGGCTCTCTCTAAAACGCTGCAGAGCTGCTGCCAATCTGTGCAGGCAATACTAAGCTCAATGGCACAATGGTCTGACTCAGTATAGTTACAGGCTGGGAAGTGCCCCTCTCTGAAAGGCAGTGAAAGGCATTTATTAGTCGATTTCCCAAGGTTTAAGGTGGCTTGAGTTTATCGTTTAAAACAAAACTTAAATAATACAGAAAACACAGATTGACAGAAACACCCAAATAGACTAACCAGCCAAGCCAAAAGCTAGACAGAAGAGATGTAAGTGGGTTATTGTTTCAATGTTTCGTTTTTAATTATTTACTTGTTTTTATCCTGTACAGTGGTACCTCGGGTTAAGTACTTAATTCGTTCCGGGGGTCCGTTCTTAACCTGAAACTGTTCTTAACCTGAAGCACCACATTAGCTAATGGGGCCTCCCGCTGCCGCCACGCCGCCAGAGCACTGTTCTCATTCTGAAGCAAAGTTCTTAACGCAAGGTAATATTTCTGGGTTAGCGGAGTCTGTAAACTGAAGCATATGTAACCTGAAGCGTATGTAACCCGAGGTACCACTGTATTTTGTTCTGTGAACCGCCCTGAGATCTCAGGACGAAGGGTGGTCTGTAAATCAAATCGATAAATAAAAGTAAATAAATAAAATAAAAAACCCTGGAGAGAGACACTGCCAGTCCGTGCAGGCAATACCAAACTCAAGGCACCGGTCCTCTGACTCCACACAAGGCCGCTTCCTACATCCCTAGAAGCAGCCGAGCCTTTCGCAAACCTGGCAGTGCGACGGATGCCGGCGTTTGTTGCTCGCGGCGAACATGCCCCTCCATGTCACTCTCAGAACAA